CCCCCCCCCCCCCGACACAGCCTGCTCGTCTGGCGCCCTCGTCAATGTCGGCTGACAGCGCGACTACCAACTCACGGCCGCCTGGCTGACCCTGCCACGCCGCCAAGCCACCAACCTACACGCACACGCTTGCACAGAGCATAGACAGACAGATAGTAGATGGCGCCGGGGACAAGGGCGCGGCCGACGTCGACCCCCGCAATGGCGAGCATCAAAACCCGCATCCTCGTCATCTCAGACACCCACGCGGCGAGGCCTCACGCGGCGCCGGCCCCCGACGAATTCGACGCCGCCGACCTCGTCCGCGTCGTCACCGGCTACAGAGATCCCCTCCCGCCCGCCGACCTCGTCCTGCACTGCGGCGACCTCACGCGCCGCAGCTCCGTCCCCGAGTACGAGACCACCTTCTCCGTGCTCCGGTCCCTCGACGCGCCTCTGAAGCTCGTCATCGCCGGGAACCACGACCTCTCGCTAGACCCCGCGTGCGACTCCCCCGAATCGCGCGCGGTCCGGGCCGTCGCGCGAGACGCCCAGCGCGACGGCGTCGAGTATCTGACGGAGGGCACGTACGACTTCGCCCTGGAAAACGGCGCCTCGGTCAGCGTGTACGCGAGCCAGTACACGCCCGCGTATGGCGGCTGGGCATTCCAGTACCCCGGCCGGCATGAGTTCGCGATTCCGCCCGGAGTAGACGTGGCCATGACCCACGGTCCGCCGTACGGCGTGTTGGACGAGGCTGGCCTGTCCGGGGCGCTGGGGCATCCGCCGCACCACGCGGGATGTGGCCATCTCTTCGAGGCGGTTGCGCGTGCGAGACCGCGGATTCATTGCTTTGGCCATATACACGAGGGATGGGGCGCGTATCGGGGTACGTGGCTTCACAGAGACGCGCCGGGGTCTGCGGCATCTCGGCCGACCGAGGAATGTGTCATGGACGGCGCTGCGTCCGGTCCGATTCAGACGTTGGACGGGCTGCGACCAATGTGCGCGGCCGACAACAGGGGGAGGTCTGCGGAAGCAAGGCAGAGGCTGGCACACCTCAGCAATCAGCGCGGATGCTATATTGATTGGACGTATGAGAAGGCACATGTTGATCCAGGGAGGCAGACCCTGTTTCTCAACGCATCAGTCATGGACATCAGATATCGGCCCTCACAGTTGCCGTGGATAGTTGACCTGGACTTGCCCAGTGCCGAGAACAAACATCGACGACATCGGACCAGCGAGCACGCTACACTTGAGACGATGCAGAATTTACAGAACACCAAGAGTCATCATGTGTAGATTAGGCGTGATATTAATTAATTGTCCAGAGGTTTTGGACTACATTCTGAATGTAAAAAGGGACCCACTATGCTTTTTTGGACTCCCTGTGTCAAAGGTTCCCACAATATTCATTCATCATTCGCAAATACAACTCCCAGGCTCAGCGTAGTACATGGCCCAGGGCTCAACCCGCATGACAGTTGCCTACAGAGCCAAGGCAGCGGCAAGGACGGCAGCGAGAGCACCGATGACAGGACCAGCAGCGGCAGCACCAGTGGATGTAGGAGCAGTGCCGGAGCCGGTGGTAGCAGCGCCAGAGCCACCATGGGTGCTGGTAGGAGCCCTGGTGGTGCCGGTACCTCCACTGGTGGCAGTACCCGTCTGGTTCCTGCTGTGAGTGGGAGCACCACCTGTACCAGTGGTCAAGACAGGGGCCACGCCCGTTGAAGAGGCTGTGGCAGAAGCAGAGCTAGAGTGGGATCCGGTGGCGGAGCCAGATTCCGAGGACGAGCTGGACGCATCGGCCTTGCACCGCTCGGAAGCGATGGACTGAGCCTTGATAAGTGCATCGGTGCTGCACTTGTTGGTTACGGCGCACTGGCTGACGGGGCCGATGAGCTTGCTCTGGGTGTCGGGTTCACAGGCGCATTTTGCGATGTCGGCGCTACCAGCGCAGGCTGATTTGAGTCCAGTCTCAATGCAGGATTTCTATATGCAAGTATATTGTTAGTCGAGTCACAACCGCTTCATCCCAGCTTGGAGCCTCCAGGCCAACGTACAACGCAGGGGTCGATGCCTTCCAGGTTCTGAGCGGCGACGAGGCCAGCAACAGCGAGGGTGATGAAAGTAGCCTTCATTTTGAAAAGAGAGGTGGCTTGTGAATCGAGTACGTTGACGAAGAGTCGAGTATGTACAAGAATTGACGGCTGACACGTTGCTTAAACGACAGTTGGAAGGCACGAGAGGATGAAGGAGGAGAGGGAGCGAAGCGAGGACCTGACAGGGTGGGTTGGCCAAGGGGCTTTTTAAGCAGTTGCGGCAAGAGCTGCTGTTGGAGCGTCGAGCACTAATAATAAGATGAGCATCCCAGAACGGAGCGTGGCAGGGAGTACTTGGAAGCTACTACGTAGTATTCTCACATTGTGACGAGCCGCCGCAGGTATGGGGCCAGGTACGTACCTGCACAAGTTCAGCCCGTACCGATCCTCATAGGCAGTGGCGAAAGGATACGGGGGCCGGAAGTTGTGGGTACTTGATGGGGCAGCGTCAGAAACCGGCTTCAGCACAAGGTTCAATGGTTGCTTTGCTTTTGTCTTTGATTTGGATTTTGCCGTCGACCAGACAATCAGAAACTGACTCCTCAGCTCGTCCTTCCTCTTCCATGCCTTTTTTTTTTTTTCTCTCAATTGCTTCCTCCCTCGAGGCTAATTAAAAGCTTGCAAGGACCAACGTCTACCAGCTGCCAGCTACCCGCTACTTAGTCAGAACTTTTGCGGACGCATCCAGAGACCGGGGGAGTCGGGGCGGCTAGGCTCAGGCTCAGGTACGAGGGAGGGCGGTGCAAGAAAACAAAACAGGCTTGCCGCCATTATTGGCATGGGGGAGCACTGATTCGGCCACTGACCAGTCGAAATTGCTTGATGGCCGGGAGAAGCATTGGCGCAAATTATCACAGGCGATCAGCGCTGGCATTTATGAAGAGGCAAGTTTTAATTCAAAATAGAAATAAAAAGGAGTAAACACCAAGTGTCGAATTTTATTTTTATAAGCCATGGCATCTCTCGTCATACATATCACGAATTTGTTCAAGCTGTGCTACCGCCCGATGCGTGGAATTCATTGTATTTCTGAATTTCCGTGTTGACGCCGCTCATCATTCAAGATGGAAATGTGACATACAGCCCCTCCAGAACAGGAGTGAAAAAAATAGCTAGCAGCAGGTTTTCTCTGTTGCCCAATGTTGCTTTTTCCTGTCCGGATACATGCATATCTTTCTAATGCCAGCTCCCAATTGTTCCAAAGCACCTCCTCGACTCCAACCAAACCTTCAACCAGTCGTTTATGCGTGTGTTCTGATATGGGCCAGCGCCTTGCGCTCCTCAAAACGTCGCTGCTTCTTGAGTCGCATAACCTTGAAGCGGTCGAAGTCGGTTAAGTTCTTCCTCCGCTGCATCTGCTCACGCTTCTTGGCCCAGTTGCTCTCCTTCCATTTGGCGTCGATCTCATTCTTCTCCCAAAGCTTCTTGACAGCGCCGTATCGGGAGCCACGGATGAGCCCGTCAATGACGAACTGGGAGAGCAGGCATTTAGACAGGGGGACGGCCTGCCGAGGGACGGCCAAAGCAGGGTCAGCCGAGGGACCGTCAACGAGAACCTGCAGTCAGACAATTAATCCTCCATCCAATATTGCTGGATTTCCTTTTGATTTTGCAAAGACGTACTCGCTTGTGGTCGATGATCTCAACGATTGCAGCAATCCTGTCAGCGAAGGGGTGGTCTCCGTCGATGGCGACGACGCGGCCGACCTCGACGAGGCGCCAGTTGGATCCCTCAATCACTGCTTCGCCCATTGTGACAGGTGTTCTAGTGGTCCTCTGTCAGTCGAAAAGTCGATTGATACGTATGCAGATATCTAAATATCAACTGCAAGAAGGCACGGTGATGTACATACCAATAGTCGAGGTCGGGTTGCCTTCGAAAGGTGGATGGATTCTTGGACTTCACACCGTGGAGTCGCCGATGACCTTTTTGATCGCTCGGCTATTAGGGTGGTGTGCGGGTGGGAATCCGACCTGTGCCCTAAGCAAAATTTTCGGATTTTCGGATTTTGCGGTGCCGAACCCAGAACCCCTGAACTTTTGTCCCAGCTTTTTTCTGCGCCTACCAAACTTTTTCCTAAACTCTTGTAACAATTGTCCGCAGTTTTGGCAAGCTTCAATGGGCCAAAAGACGACGATGGGTTCTAAGAGAATCTGCTGATTGCTGCGGTCACGATCAAGGTAAGCGTGCATTCATTTTTTTCCCTGCGACGTTCCCTCATGCACCTCTTTATGATGAGGTTAATTTGCGATTGATTCTATTCGGTGGCTCTCTTCGCCAGAGTAGCTATACCGCTTAGACAACTGATATTCAATTTCTTACATATTCTGAACTGGTGTATCTGAGACTCGCATTGAAAAAATTCAAAAACAGTCCCTTTGAATAGCAGCCATACTAACAAAGCGACTCGTCTAGTCATCCATCAGGTTACTTCTCACAGTCTTGACCAGATTCAGCGTCCTAACAGGCACGAGCCAACAATCCCAGATATATGCTCCTTGTTACGAATCCATTCGCGACGTACTCTTGACCGAAGCAAACACTATGTCGCCCGCATTGCAAAATTTCCTTACATTTATCCGTCCAGTTTCTTTTTTCATGATGCGCATTGATCACTTTGTACAGCTCATATCCAATACCTTTATTTCCCTTCCTTCTCCCTTATCCTTTGTGCATCTTCTTCGGCCAACTCTTTATCGATTTTGGCTCCTTTGGAAGGCTCATGGCCGTGCATTTTAGCCTGTAATGGACTGATTAGTAGTCGCACCAGCTAGTTCGTAGTTCGCGAGACTGACAGGCAAAGTCGGGTCTTTCTTGTACATGGCTGTCTCAAGGTCGTCGCTGTCTCCCTTCTTCCCTTTCTATACATGAATTAGTAAAGAATTTGACAATGCTTCACCTGGCATCGTTGACTCACCTCCTCGGCAGCTACTCGGTTGGAAATTGTCCTCTGGTCCTCTTTGAGAGCATGATTAGGTTTTGTCAACGAAACATGAATTGGACACACGTACTAGGATCCTTCAGCGAATGCGATCCCGGCTGGCCTTCCTTGAATCTCTCGGCAGCTTTTTTCTCCGAGGCCGTTAAGTTCCGCTGGTCTCCATCTTCGTAGATCGCAGAATTTCCGACTTTGGAGTGGTAAGAAGAAGACGAAGACATGATGATAATAAGTATCTGTACGGCGGTTGACAGCGGTGTGGCTTCAGATGAGGCAGGCTATGAATTATTTGACTCGTTGATAATGACTTGACAGTATATTTATGAGTCTTCGGATTTGGCAGATGGTTCGAATACTGGCGGAGCTTATGCTCCACGGGCTACTTCATCGACGACGTCATCCATTCATTACTGGTAGCCATCCTGCTACAAAACCTGGACTGCGACCTCACGGTCACGTCATATGTGGAGTTTCCGTAGGAATAAGGGATTCGATGAAGCTCTGCAAACTGCAAATAGTAATCACGACGCGGCCCCAACCCCATGGAAAGAAGTTTGAGGAGGGACATGCGGAAACGAAGGCTCAGAAGTGGCGCAAATGGTCCCACAGCAGGTCGGGCCTCACTTCCATCCGGCTTTGGTGTGCCATTTTCATTGAGAGGCGCTTACGTCTACAAAAGAAAAAGGGGGGGCATACATGCCTAAATATCTCATAGGTAATTATACAGCTCAATCAAATGCGCGATTGATATGATCTAGCCGGGCAATGCAGGTCTGCGTAGTTATGTCGGGACCACGTCGGAGACATGTCGGGAAAGGCAAGGTATAGAGATCTCACTTGTAGGGCTTCCATGCAATTGAGCCTTAAAGCTGCTTAAACAAGATCATCCTATTGCGTCTGGTCTGTTGACTTGATATAGGCACTAGACTTTTCAACATCGCTTACTCTCCGTACAAGCAAGCGATTGATGTGCCTGAGTCATCGCAGCCAAAGTAAATGGGCTTCCAGTGTCATGTGTATGTGGTGGAGTTGCAGTTGAAAGTAATGTCTGCAACCTGATTGGTTCAAATGTCTGCTGGTGCGCAGAATTAGTTAATCTGCTCCGAACATTGACGTGCGATACTTTGGGACAACAGATCATAATCGCCAAGGCGAACTCCCCTCAACGCACAAGCCGCCGCATGCGAGCAAGAGGCGCTCCAGGAAAATTGTCAGTATTCCGGTACCCTCTGCGCTCCTTCCCAATGGCTTCTTCACTGCAGAGGCTCGCTTGCCGCAGCGCCAAGCGTCTCTGCCTCCGTCCTGCTACACACCTTGCAACTCGGCCCTTGTCGACGACATGTCTTCGAAAATATGCCACTCCCGAGCCCATGGGCATCCGGCTCATCCCCGTCGATGACGACTTTGCCCATCCCAGTGACCCCTACGGCACCACCCAGCGTGTGCCGGGTGCCATCCAGAAGTCGCGCGAGAACTCGGTCGAGGACCGCAAGGTCAGGCACTATACCGTCAACTTCGGCCCCCAGCATCCCGCTGCCCACGGCGTGCTTCGACTTATTCTCGAGCTCAATGGCGAAGAAATCATCCGTGCCGACCCACACGTCGGTCTCCTCCACCGAGGCACGGAAAAGTTGATCGAATACAAGTCCTATCTGCAGGCTCTCCCCTACTTCGACCGACTGGACTACGTTTCCATGATGACCAACGAGCAATGCTTTGCACTCGCTGTTGAGAAGCTTCTCAACATTGAGATCCCCGAGCGCGCCAAGTATATCCGTACCATGTTTGGAGAAATTACCCGAGTTCTGAATCATCTCATGTCCGTTCTGTCTCACGCCATGGATGTTGGTGCTTTAACGCCCTTCCTGTGGGGTTTCGAGGAGCGAGAGAAGCTCATGGTATGTACCGTTTGCCTCGTTACACTAGCATCTTCTCTCTGTCACACTTATCAAGCTGACTTGCGGCCACAGGAGTTCTACGAACGTGTTTCTGGTGCGCGTCTCCACGCTGCTTATGTTCGCCCTGGCGGTGTTCACCAAGACATCCCGGTTGGCTTGCTGGATGACATCTATCAATGGGCTACCCAGTTTGGTGACCGCATTGACGAGATGGAAGAAATGCTTACTGACAACCGCATCTGGATTGAACGATTGAGAGGTGTCGGTGTTGTTTCCGCCGCAGACGCCCTGAACCTATCCTTCACTGGCGTCATGCTTCGAGGTTCTGGTGTCCCCTGGGATATCCGAAGGAGCCAGCCCTACGACGCCTACAACAAGGTCGAATTCGATGTTCCCGTTGGCAAGAACGGCGACTGCTACGACCGCTACCTTTGCAGAATGGAGGAGTTTCGCCAGTCCCTGCGCATTATCCACCAGTGTTTGAACCAGATGCCTGCTGGCCCTGTCCGTGTTGAAGACTACAAGATCGCCCCTCCTCCCCGTAGCGCCATGAAGGAAAACATGGAGGCTCTCATCCACCACTTCCTTCTGTACACCAAGGGTTATGCTGTTCCCCCTGGCGAGACCTACTCCGTTATCGAGGCCCCCAAGGGCGAGATGGGTGTTTATGTCGTCAGCGACGGCAGCGAGCGTCCTTATAGATGCCACATTCGTGCTCCTGGGTTTGCTCATCTTGGCGGGTTCGACCATGTCTCCAAGGGTCACTTGTTGGCCGATGCCGTCGCTGTAATTGGTACCATGGATTTGGTGTTTGGTAAGTCTGAATCATGTCCCCTCGCCCTGAAATATTTTTCTCGGTCTTTTTGTCATGTCTAATATGTTTTAACAATTTTTACTCCCCAGGCGAGGTCGATCGGTAATTTTAAAGGAAAACCGTCAATCAAGATTTTGCTTTGTCTGTAGTCATAGCTGGCTAGGAGAACCTGTAAATACTCCATAGAAGTCTTGGAAATTTTTGGCCTTCCCCTCAGTGTCACTCAAATGATGTCTCTAACACTGATACGTGGGTCGCAACAGAAATACACACGTGTTTTGTTGTTACAATTAGTCGCTGTGATGCTTTGAACATTTCACCTTGCACCCCATCGAGGTGATGTTCATTCTTGTCTATACGACCTTGATACCAGTGCCCGAAGCCTGTCCCATCAAGAAATTCTTCAGCGGTGACAACATGTTGACGGCCTGCAAGCCGATAGACCGTAGGCCAACCAGCGGTCCGCTTTCTACTGAGTAGATCTTGTGGAGCTTGTCGCACACGCCCATCAGAACGTGGTTCGTGGTATAACGCTCGCTGTTGTAGCTCTCCAGTGACAACCGGGTCCCCAGATCTTGTCCGTGAGAGACGGCGTATTCTATAGACTTGACAAGACTCTGCACGTCGCCTTGTCCCATGTTGAGGCCCTGCCCGGCCAGAGGGTGAACGGTATGCGCCGCATCGCCAACAAGTGCGATTCGTTCGCCGATATAAGCATCTGCGTGGCGGAGCCTGAGTGGGAACGACGCAATCGAGCCGTGTTGCACGCCAACAACAGTCTGTGGAATGGCCTCGGCATCCACGGGCGTGTGCTGTATTCTCCAGTTGTACTCGTCTTCCTGGCCCTCCGTCTGTGTGTGCATGTATTCCAGATCGACAGGGCCAAGGCGGAACGCAGCGTTTACTAGGGCAATGAAGTCCTTGGGGGAGAGCTTCTTCAACCGCGCGGCGTTATCTGGCGTGGTTGACCAAACCAGGGTCGAACAATTCCCCGGCAGGGGGAGCATGGCCACGGGACCGGTGGGCAAGAACCGCTGGTAGGCAATCTTGCTGAACTGTCCGCCCCAACCGTCTCCCTCCAGTTGCAGCGTCGCAACGAGGCCGTGTCTGCCGTAATCCCACCCACGGCTCTCGATGCCTGCAAAGGACCGGACAGGACTGTTGGCCCCGTCGGCCCCGACGAGCAGTCGCGCAGCTAGTGATTGACCGCCCGACAGGTGGACAATCGGCCAGTCGCGAAGATCCATGTCTTCGGTTTCTTCGCCCAGGTCGATCTTTTCCACTCGCGCGTTGTCAAAAATATCGACGCTTCCTAGTTCTTGGAGCCGCTTCAAAAGACCCGAGGTTAGATTCAGGTTCTCCGTCATGTACGCAATGGTTTTGCTGGGGCCAGAGCTGGCCGGGGGGTCGAATTCAATCCGGGCACCTGTGACGCCATCCCAGACCTGCATCTCGTGAAACTCTTGAATGCGGTCACGCTTCATGTGTGTCCATGCGCCAATGGTGTTGAGATACTCGGCCGACCATGGGGTCAATGAGCTACAGCGATTTGAGAACTGAGTCGGCGGTAGAGAGAAGGCGCTGGTCTTGGATAGATCTTGGGCTTCGATAAGGGCAACCCGCAGTCTGGAGGTGATGGGGCTTGCGCCTAGAATATGTGTTAGATGTTGGAGTCTCCATGTCACTGAAAAGAAGCCGAAAGATGCGTACGAAGGGCCGTGAGGAGACTCAGGCCAGCCGGGCCACCTCCAACGCAGACTACATCGTATATATCGTCTTTCGTGGTTGAATATGAGCGTCGCCATTGACTGTGGGCAAGTCCAGAACAGCTTCTGCAAACAAAGCTCGAGGTCCTGAAAAGACCTCGCGCCCCAGCCATGGCAGCTTGTGGTGGTTCTGGGCGCAGTAAGCCACCACGACAACGTCAATTGATAGATGAAGGTGTTTTGGAATCCGACCTCACTGTCACATGGGGTGGGACGATGACTATCAAATGCAGCATGCGCCACATGTGGCAAGGCCGAGCTCCCACCCCTGCTTGCGGTTGTGTACCAAAGTTCTCCGTAGGGCAACGATAATAGCTAGGGTCTGGTGAGCCGAGGATACTCCGACGTCCAGTTGCCACAGACAACGGGCGCCGTCGTTTCGTCAAGTGGAGTTTGACTTCAATCAACAACAATCAATCATCGTCGCTCAATCCTTGCAAGACCGCTTTGCAACCCATATCAGTGCGGCTGTACCCTCGCCCTCAGATTTACGCTTCAGGGTTGTCCCATTCCGCAACCTGGTGGACGCCTCCCTCTCCCTGCAAGTGCGACATTCTGCGGCCTTGGCTGCGACCTCTGCTCTTGAGCCGTCTTCCTCGGTTGACCTTGTCTCACCAATACGTTCCTTTGCATTCCTCCCAGCAAGAGCCAAGCCGTGACAGTTCGTGGGCTTTCATTGCCCATCCACATCTGCCTTTGCCGGAGACTTGTAGCTTCATCAACCACTGTGCGACGACGCCTTCTGCCGTCATGGCGGATGCCGATGATTACCTCCAAGAGGGTTTCGATCCGCGCAGCGTGACGGTGCCACGCTTGCGGTCCATTCTTGTCACGCACAATGTGGACTATCCCTCAACAGCGAAGAAGGGGCAACTGGTAGATTTGGTCAACCATCACGTTTTATCACAAGCTTCGAAGCTGCGAGCGCAAAGAGCCAAGGCGAAGCGATCCAGCTTAGGGTTCGTCAATGCAGGCAGTGCCGAAGATTCCAACAACGCTTTGGATGAACACGACACGCGCTCGCGCTCGCGCCATTCGTCTATTCGCAGCTCAATATCACCAAGGAAGAGCTCGGGCAGAATTAAGATGGAGCCCGAGGAACCCGAATCCAATATTCTGCGCAGTCCGCGCAAGCGCAGCTCGAGATCGGCCAGCCGGCAACTATCACATTTTGATGAAGATGACGGAACCGCCTCCGTTGCGTCCAAGTCGACGCGTCGCAGCAGCAGAAGGGCCGTCACCCCTCAAATAAAGGATGAGTCGGAAGAGGAAGAGTATCACGCTCATGTTGATCACTCAAACGAATACCTGCAGCCGCCAGCGGTAGAGGGGGGGGAAGGGTACGACGAATCCGTCTTCACCGACGACAACCCCTTTCAAAGCGGAAGCTCCCCGCCGCCAACGACAACTCCAAGCATCCGTCGCCGCACTCTGGGCGAGGACGTCTCCAGGAGCGCGCGATCTGCAAGAAGACGAACTGATGGGACCCCCGATCGAGCAAAGAAGTCCAGATTGTCAGAAATTCCAGTCCCCAAGTTGGGTCAAAGAACCCCTGAATTCGCTTTGGAGCCTGGCGAGGAGTTTACGGCAGATGAGCAGCTCGAATTGGAGGAAGCACAAAGTGCGGGAGAAGTCGCTCCAATTTCGCGCAAGGGCCGTAAACCAGCCCGTCAAACAAGCGTGCTGACACCACTCTTTGTACTTCTGATGGCGCTTTTTGGCGCTTATGGAGCTTGGTATCGACAAGAGAAGCTCGCTGTCGGATACTGCGGCCTTGGTAGGCAGGCCAAGCCACTCCTGCCGCCGGAAATTGTGGTTCCTGATGCGATATTGCCCTTTGTTGAACCGCAATGCGAACCATGCCCTCCAAATGCCTATTGCTACGAGGGCTTCAAAGTAAGATGCGTTCAAGGATTCATCCAAAGACCTCATCCATTGTCATTTGGCGGACTCGTCCCTCTTCCACCAACATGTGAACCCGATAGCGAGCAAGAACGCCGCGTTCAGGCCGTAGCTGACAAGGCGATTGAGGCGCTTAGAGAGCGCCGAGCCAAGTATGAGTGCGGCGACTTGGTCGACGAAGCTGGTCAACAGGAAAAGTCACCCGCAATTGCAGAGGAAGAGCTAAAACATGTTGTCAGCAAGAAAAGGAACAAGAGACTTAGTGATGAAGAATTTGATGGCCTATGGGAGAAGGCCATTGGCAAAGTCACGACAAGAGACGAAGTCGAGGTACAGGTCGAGACAACGCAGACAACGCAGTAAGTGTAAAGCCTCACTTTCTTTCGTTTCCTTCCTTTGCTTTACTTTGCGGCATGGTACAATCTCAGCTGTGGCTGTGATAGTTTTCTCACATCTGGTAAACAAATCTTTCTTCTGACACAGACTAATCAGATCCGTGATTAACCCAACAGACCACCCGGTTCCTCCAATCTTCAAACCATCAAGCTATCGTCAACCTCTCTCGCTCGCCTTCCGCTCGCCTGCGCCATCAAGCGGTCAATCTGGCTCGGACTGGCAAGATATCGACTCGCAATTGGATTTTTGATCTTCTTGGCCCTCGGAAGCTTGAATCTACGCTCACGATACCGTCGTCACGTTGCAACATCTGCACAGGTTCCAGCCCTCGTAGACTTGGTCATGCAGCGACTTGCAGACCAGCGGGAGCTTGGAGAAGAGGATCTTGACGATCCCTGGCTCTTCCTGCCAAACCTAAGAGATGACGTCCTGCGGTCTATTCACACTCTCTCTGAGCGAGAGAGAATCTGGCAGAAAGTCAGGGCCATCGTTGAGCAGAACAGCAATGTTCGCATTAGCCAAAGGGAAGGCCGAAGCGGAGAAGTAGGCCGTGCTTGGGAATGGATTGGCCCTAGTAAGGGTGAGGGGGCGAGGAGACGACGTAGTGGGAGGGTTTCATGGATGTCGGAGTCGAAGGAGACGCCTGACTCAAGAGACAGGATCGACGCTAGAAAATGGGACGAGTCAAGGCCAATTTATTAGGTGTGGTTTGTGTATTGGCTACACTGTAATGTTACGAATCGTATCAGAGCGTAAAAATGCTCACTATACCGCAGTTTTGTGGCATCATTAACGCGAAGCGAATAACAGCAACCATTTTTGATATATGGTGTACTGAATTGAATACATCTCTGTTGTTCTCTCGCCTTGTTGAATCTCATTAGCGCTTCCATTTTGCTGCAGATACCCTTGAGACTTGGTATACTGGAGACAGTCTTGGGCTTGATTAGCTTGTTCGATTTGTCTATGGCGTGTGTCGACTGTTGACATGTCTAGTGATGCAAGCAGGTTTCTGCGTTAACATGGTGTGATTTGCGTTTGTTCAATGGCCATCAGCGCGTCAAGATATCTAACCATCCACGGCGCTGGTGAGATGTTCGACGTCGACAGGAACACGATCACAGCACAAGCAGGATAGAGAATAGAGTTTGGGTAACAAAGATGAGCGTCTCGATTTCATCGGCTATTGCACAGGTATGGTTATATGCACACAGTGTTGTAACAAAGGAAACGGTGGTGCGTTTTTAATCTAAGACTCTAGTATTAGGCGTTTATTGTGCCTTGGACGAGACGATCTCTGTGATGGCGTGTTAGCAAATTCCATCCTTCAAGTAGACGCGTAACTTGTGAAGCTCAACATACTCTCGACCTCAGCGACACTCTGCTGCAGGATCTGCTGCAGAACCTTGGGGTTCTCCAACTCTTTCTGGACCTTGGCGATAACGGAGGCAGCAAGCTCCTTCTGCTGGCGCTGCTTGACCTGGCCCTCATAACGGACCCAGGAGTCGAGGACAGCCTTGGCCTCGGCGGCCAGGGCGGTCTGCTGCTCCAGCTCGTAGGCCTGGGCCTCGAGCTTGGCGGTTTCCTGCAAGTCATTGCGTCAGCGGCCTGGGCACTATCACCGTGTGTCTGATGGTTCCGAAAAAACCCAAGTCGTTTAGCAGGTCTCTCACCTTGGACACCTCGAACATGGCCTTGGTAATGTCAACCACACCAGTCATCTGCCGGACGTCCTCGATGCGGCCCTTGACGGCCTCTGTATGGTCGGCACGCGCGCTGTTGAGGATGTTCTTGATCTTCTCGCTTTGACTCTCCGCCCATGCCTTGTATCCAGGGCCGCCGTACTTGATGAGACCGCCCCAGACGGCCAGCAGGCAGATGGCCACGATGGTCTCCTCGTTCATGACGTAGTATTCATTGCTAATGGCGTAGATGCTGAGACCGGCGGCGCTGCTGAGGTACGCCGTCTTGCTGAGGAGGCTGCTTCCGGGGAGGGAGTCGATGATGCTCTGCGCCTTCTTCTTGGGCTCCTCGGCGGGAACGTTGCTGGCGTGGCGGGCGGTAGCGGCGGACACGGCAGGGATGGCTCGGCGGGCGAGGGCAGGTCGGAGAAGGGGAGCGCCTTTTCGTTACGACAGATTCCATCCTGCGTCAGCAAACTTTCCGCTTCCAATTGAATCGCTATATTTCAATTTTCGTCGCGCCGTGCGATAGGGGAGCGACATACCGACAGCGCTTCGTGCCAAGCGAGAGGCCATTGTGAAATAGAGGTGCGATTTGGGGGGGGAATGGACTTGAGGTTGCTCGGGGAGCTGCGAGTGAGAGATTTGAGGTTTTGCCGCGCGAGCTCGGCAAGAGGTCATAGTCACGTGATGTCGGGAATTAGAGGAATGGGGCCTGTGGGCTTTGGATAGGGAGCAACCGTGATTTACCCGATCTCTCCTCTGGCACATCGAAGTAGCATCTCTATCGATAAGATGCTACTGGCGGGATTTTTTTTGGGATATCCAATGCTAATTACCTAGGTAGTTACCTAGGTCTCTCAAGATTTTAAACAATACTTGTCTTTCATTGCAGTAGACACACGGCAAATCTTTCATCTTTGTAGCCTTTCTTCTTGTGTCATTATTTCTTGTGTTTGAAGAATCCCATTACTTTTTTTAAGAAATAGTTTCCCTCCCGAATTTACGAGACAAACTGTTCGCAGAATGGTGGAATGCGCTGCTTCTGAAGGCTTGAAACGCAAGCAAGCTTCTGTTGGCGAGAAGGCAGCCAAACGCCGCAGGTCTTCAAGCGAGGAGACCGAGGATTCAAATGCCAAGATTCTCCTCATGGAACAAGGAATTCTAGAGTCAAAAAAGAATTACAACGACATCAATGTCCTTCTGAGCACGGCAAGAGAGTATGAAGGTGGAGAGCCGGAATCGATGTTGGCAGCAGTGGCCCTCTGCAGAGTCTTCGTCCGGTTGCTTTCCCGGGGGTCTCTTGTCGCCAAGAAATCTCTTTCGGAGAAGGATGCTGTGGTTGTTAGTTGGCTCAAGGATCAGTTTTCACAGTACAAGCTCCTGCTGATGAGTATGGTGAGACATGAAGATGTCGCTGTCACTGCTCTTACGTTGAGTATGAGATTGCTGAAAACTGAAGGCGAGTTCTTGTACGACAATGAGGATTACTCGTTCCCCGCGGCATTCACTGAAAGCATTGTCAAGGCTGTCTTGCTCTCAGACAATGAAGATGTCAGACCAGCATACGTTGAAGAATTTGGGGAGCAGTATGACGATATTCGTTATTTTACGTTCAAATCCATCAGGTACGTATTTCTTCTGGATGAGGTTGATGCGTTGTGCTGATAGCATGGACAGGAACCTTGTCAAGAGCTTATCAGAAGACATGGGACACCATGATTTGTTCGACAGAGTCTTCTCTCTGATTTCTGCCCTAGACGGTGTGCCACAGTCCGCAGATGATCTGGAAGACTTTTACATACCCAGGCCAACGAGGAAAACACATCCTCTGAGATCTGTCAACCAACACAAAAAGCAGGGTCAAGAGGCGTGGCTTGCCTTGATGGGCATCGTCGACACCAAGGCCCAGCGTAAGCGTATACTGGATAAAACTTCAACCATTATCGCTCCTTGGTTCACAAAACCCGAACTACTGGCAGACTTTCTTGGCAATTGCTACGATGCGGGGGGTACGATGTCTGTGCTAGCATTGTCTGGAGTCTTTTACCTGATTCAAGAGCGCAACTTGGACTACCCATCGTTCTATCCCAAGTTGTATTCGCTGCTTGACCGAGATATTCTGCACTCGAGACATAGGTCCCGATTCTTCCGACTGTTGGATACTTTCTTGGCGTCAACCCATCTTCCGGCTTCTCTGGTGGCAAGCTTCGTGAAGCGGTTATCGCGGCTAGCACTAAACGCGCCTCCTAGCGCCATTGCTTTTGTGATTCCTTACATTTACAACTTACTGAAGCGTCACCCTACGTGCACATTCATGGTACATCGGGTCATCAAGGACCCAGAGGAGAAGCGGAATATCCAGGAGCACGGGTTCGAAGATCCCTTTCTACCAGAGGAGACTGAGCCTACCGAGACGCGCGCAATCGACAGTTGTCTGTGGGAGCTTGTGCAGCTGCAATCGCACTATCATCCCAACATAGCGACTATTGCAAAGATCATGTCCGAGCAGTTCACCAAGCAATCGTATAACATGGAAGATTTTTTGGATCATTCATACGCCAGTGTAAGTTCGATTTGACCCATCTGGGCATGCAAGCCGCGCCAGTTTTCTGACATTGTCTGTAGCTTTTGGATGCCGAGTTGGGAAAGGACGTCAAGAGGGCGCCGGTTGTTGAGTTCCAGATCCCCAAGAGGATATTTCTCCCTCAAGACGAGCCAGCGACTCACCCGGACAGCCTGCTGGTCAAGCTTTGGGATTTCGGAGGGAAAGTCTAGACGCTGGGACAGGCTGTTGACGGTGATGGCGGAACTGGCGTCGACAATATCTTGTCACATACTACATAGATATAGCAAGCGAATTATTTATGGCATTCAGTTTGTTTCTCGACAATCCTGCCAAGGCCACACGGTACAGTGAGCGGCATTCGTCGACATGTGTAAGAGATGACGGATTGTCGGCACTGCGGATGGGTGCACAATCCCATCAAGGCGGGAAGAGAAGAAAGAGGCCGTGTAATGTACGTGGCTGAGCCTGCTTGGGAAGAAGTCATACGGAGCAGACTAAGTACTCAACATTGGTGCAACAGATGTCCGGTGGTCAATGGCTCGACGGGTTGGCCGCACTGTCTGCACAGTGTCCGTCGCGCTGTGCGGTGAACGTTCAGGCTGGTTCAACTTCCAAGTCCAATGCTCCGAGGCCGGCCGGACGGGGCTTGTTGGCCACAACTTCAAGCACCAGTGACGCCGCTGCAAGCAACTGCATGGTCATTGCACGCCATCGAATTTGTTCAATCCTTGGTTACCCAACGCTGCTCCCCACGCTGGTTGAACCGGTTCCAAGGCTTCGGTCCGCCGCCTGAAGCACCAGTGCCGCGCCTTGGCATGCACGATACATCCAAATACCACCTAGGCGCTTACTAGGGTCTAAGTACTTTGACCTACCTAAGTACTCAGAAGTACCTACCTGGGAACGAACTTGATACTCCAGAGTCCGCAGCGCCTTCCAAGTAGGCTATAGATGTAACGTCATGTTCCCCACAATACGTACTGTGTCGTCGAGTTCCACCGACGTCCCAGCACTAGCTGTATAGTAATGCGGCGTTTGGCGAACTCGACCGACACATTCTCGCGTCAGCTTGCAACTTTTCCCCCGTCTCTTGTTCTCCATGTAAACACAGCGTTGAAATTTGCCGTCTCTGATCCATCGCCTTCACACCGTCCCCGATTCACCGAGCGCCTGCGATGGTGACATCGACGCGGGTCGGAGCATGAATTGAGTGTTAAAGCGGCCAACCCCAAGAGCTGGCCGACGTCGCCATGGCCAGCAATCGCTTCCAGTCGCTGAGCGCAGCCTCCAACTTGAGATCCGAAATTGCTTCGCAGGGCTCACCGTCACTATCCACAGGGCAAGCCACCCCAGACAGCCAGAAGCACCCGCGCAAGAGAAAGGGACACCGAGGTGGCAAAAAGAAGCGATCGCGACGAAAGAGTTTCGCTGCTCTTACCGAGGACAGCCATGATGAAGCTGGTCCCTCACGCTCCGGATTGCTGTATCAGGTGCCCGAAGCCAATCTAAGCGGTACCAGCATCGACAGCGAGGTGTTGCTCGACCATCGGTGAGCTTGCAACAGAATAGACGTGGTCATGTGTATGAGCTGACGGTTCGTGTCGACAGAGAGCAGAGACCTATGCGAACTCGCCGCTCAAGCACCATAGCCGCGCAGAGTTCCTTCCATAACCCCTTTGCCTCGACTCCGGGTGGCAGCCGACTGCGATCTATGCACACACCCAATAGCCCCGATGCGAATGGCGAGCGTGACCCGTGGGACGAGACGGCTCCTCTGTTGTCAGCATCCGCAAAGAGAGGGACCCCAACGGGCCCCTCGAGCTATGGAGCGAGTGAATCCAGGACCGCCAGGAACAGAAGTCCGAGATCCAGCAGGTCGTCCAAAACCAAGCTGGCCCCTTCGCAGAAGGATGGCTACGATGTGAACCATCCGCCATCCGTCCCGGGCTCTCCGGCCTTCCGTGCTGCGACCGGCCCAGAGATGGTGTTCGGAGACGTCATGATTCGGGATGATTTGTCCCTTCCGAGTGGTATGAGCGGCCGATGCTCAGACAATGAGGAGGCCGTGTCGGACACAGAAGGTTCCATTCGTGACCACAAGCCCGAGATAAACCGCCGAACGACGGTAGACGCCCCTGTGGACGTATGCTTCCCCGCCCCCGGCATGTCAGAGCTTGGCGAAGAGGAAGATGATGCTCAGTCACGAGATCCTCAAATCCACCGGCGGCGTGCTCGTCGACGACATGGCCAATGGCCGGACCTGTCGGTGCTGGAAGAATGGAGACACTATGAAAAGGAGGATCGAAGCGAAGAACGACGGGTAAAACGAATAACGGAGCCGCAGTTGATCAACGGCCGGCTACGTCCCGTGCGAAAGGGCTGGTTTCAGACTGACGAAGAGATACCATATCGATTCACGTATTTTAACGAAGAATTCCAAAGCACCATCCATAGTCAGACAATATCCGAGCTCGTTCAGCCAGGAAGCGACTTTCGAGAGCTTTTTATCCCAGATCCTCGCATTCTGTCAGATGACGAGAGCAGCGACAGCGATAATGAGAACATCTCACTGGCAACGAGGCGTCAGCGGTCCTTCGTCGGCCCCGATGTCGACTCCAAGCTTTCTACACGCCAGCCATCCATTGCCGACTCGCGAAAAGGAGGAGCAGGCACCATGTCACCCAGCTTGGATCCCCTGAACCATTCCAGGCGCGTAAGCCCAAGCGGCGTCAAATCGCCCGCAGGCAGCGCTTATCCCGCCGCCGCAGACACAACTGAGAGGCCCATTAGATATGGGGACAGACCCGTTTGGTGGCTCGATGTTCTGTCGCCCACAGAAGCGGAAATGAAAGTCATTGCCACGGCATTCGGAATCCATCCCCTCACCGCCGAGGATATAATGCTTCAAGAAGCCCGGGAGAAAGTAGAACTATTCCGCCACTACTATTTCGTCAACTACCGCACATTTGACCAGGACATCAACAGCGCCAACTACCTCGAACCGGTCAACATGTACGTCGTCGTTTTCCGCGAGGGAGTGCTCAGCTTTCACTTTTCCATGACGCCGCACCCTGCAAACGTACGCAGACGTATCCGCCAGCTGAGAGACTATCTCATTCTGTCATCCGACTGGATATCATACGCCATCATCGACGACATCACCGATGTCTTCCAACCTCTTATCCAGAATATCGAAGACGAGGTTGACGAGATTGACGAGAACATCTTGCGCATGCATACCCCCGAGAAGGACGAGAAAACAGCCCACCTTCGCGACGACAGCTCCTCCTTCTTCGACTCGGGAGACATGCTCCGAAGAGTAGGTGACTGTCGCAAGCGAGTCATGAGTCTCTATCGCCTCCTGGGCAACAAGGCAGATGTCATCAAGGGCTTCGCCAAGCGGTGCAATGAAAGCTGGGAGGTTGCGCCTAGGTCCGAAATCGGGCTCTATCTGGGCGACATCCAAGATCACATCGTGACAATGAGGGTCACTATGAAAAGTTTGCCCTTGCCCCCCCCCCCGCCCCGTTTGCTCTCCAATGGACAAGAATCAACCAGCTAACCGGCGTGCAGGATACTGGCCCGCTCCCACGGCAACTACCTCGCCCAGATCAACATCCGCATGAACGAGCGGCAAGAGCAAACCGCCGATGTCCTCGGAAGGCTCACCGTCCTGGGTACCATTGTGCTCCCCATGAACATCATCACCGGCTTGTGGGGCATGAACGTCTGGGTTCCCGGGCAGCAGTACGAGGGTGACTTGTCGTGGTTTGCTTGGATAACGGCCGGCTTGCTGCTCTTTGGCCTGGCCTGTTATATGATTGCAAAGAGGGTATATAAGATCGTTTAAGAAAAAACTGCTCAAGACTTTGCAGCCTGCAGGTCCATCCCGGCATGTTGGTCCCGGTGCACCACCACACGGTGTTGGAACTACCATCACGGAGCCACGGCCGACTTGTAATTTATTCTTGATTCTTGGAGAGGAGTACTAAAGCGATGAGTTGTCTTTTTTGGTTTGTGGTTCGGACATGTATACAGTCTGGCCTGTATCTGATACCGTATTGAGCAGTTGTTCATTGTTCAGACATCATTGCCTTATTAGCGTCAATGACACGTTCGATCGCGACCCTTTGCCTCACCGTGAAATGCGTGTGCGTGTGTACTTGGGAAGTGTCCGTCTTTTATTAGGATTGGTAGTATTCTTAGTATTTTTATCAACTATCCTTTGAATTTTGTTTGCGACATTTGCCGCCGTCTTTGATATACGCCCCCTTCGACTTGGACGAAAACTGAACGTAGCAACCGCTATTGCGCCGGCTCAACCTGACTCTAATCCAGAATGACCTCTCAATGTGCAGCAGCAAATTGATATCTGGGCACGGAGCGCCCCCCCTTTTTTTTGGCCCGGTGTGGACTACGCATTCCTACACACTTCACCTGACCGGTTGAAAAACGTCGTCGTCATGATCGTCTTTACTTGTGGCATGTCGCATTCTCATCTCCGCTGACCGGCAAATGTGGCTCTCAGAGCCATGATTTGCTGCCTGTCGGCATCCGAAAGCATGTCGATTTGGGCCTGCGTCAGGTCCATGACTGCTCTCATCAGAGCGTCGGGGTCCTGGGCGGCCGCAGGAGACGGTTGTGGTGCCACCGGGGCGCCAAAACTCGGCTGAGCTGCTGCGGCCGCGGCGGGAGGCGCATATGTCATGCCGGCTACCGGTGGTGTGTTGTTGTTCGCGGCTGCGTAGCCCGACGCGGCTGCGGAGCCGGGATACGCCGTCGCTGGTTGCTGCGGCGCCGGCAGAGGAGCTGTAGGGTCGGCAACAGACTGAATAGCTTCGGGGGAGACCAGTCCCATGAGAAGAAGAGCCTCGAATACGGCGTACGCAAGTTGTGGCGCCTGCTGGAGAAGCTCTGTCGCCCTCTGTGGCTCAGAGGTCGCCAGCGTCTTCATCTGGCCGAGGATGTCGAGCAGTTGGGAGGGCGGCAGGGTGTTGAGAGTTCGTGAGATGGCGTCGGTGCAGGTCAGCCCCGGGGGGATTTCCTTTCCGGCGGGCAGGGGAGGCAGTGGGCTTGCTTGTGTGCCGTACGCGTTGGTCGGCGTGCCATTTGTCGGGTTTGTTGTGGACTTTGTGTCTGTTAGCGAGTGGAGGGTTGCGAGGCCAGGGCAAGGTGCTTCGAGGCCCGTACCTGGCTATTGTCGTCGTCACCGCTCTTTTGTTCATTAGAAAAGTCGACGCGGAGCTTGCGACCCATAACCTCGTAGTCGTTCAAATTTCGTACCGCAGACGAAGCGCTGTCTGTTGCACAAAATGAGGTCAGTACAGTCTCCGAGGCATGCGCTCGTTGGTGACGGAGGGGGTTTGCTCCACGAACCAGTATCGGGATAGTCGGCAAACCCAAATCCCTTTGGACGGCCTGTTTCAGAATCATATACTAGTCGGAACCGTTCGACCTTGCCGGCGCGGCTGAAGAGTTCCGTAATCTGTTCTTCTGAGAGTCCTATACTGCGAGTTAGAACGGGCAGAAACGACGGAGGCGCGTCCACTTTTGGGGGAGAAAATAAGAGGAAAGAAAAAGAATGAAGATGAAGATGAAAAATGTACCGTAGGGGATATTGCCCACGAATACGACACGGGACGGAGGTCTCGTTGACATTGTATCGTGGTGGACAGGGCGAGACCTATCGTCAGCGTCGCCGTCGGTGATGTCGCGGAGGGGACAAGGAGCGGCAGATCGCTAATTACCGCTGCCGGGCGCTATGTGTCACCTGTGACCCAATGGCCTTCAGGGACAGCTGAAGAGGAAGGTGATTCAATGCAGATGGCCTCCGTGTGTTGGTAGCAGGTGGGAGACGGAACGCTTTGAATACACGGGTGCAAAACTACAAATTCCGCACGACGACGCTATCGTGGCGCAGGCTGTACCAACAAGGCGTTGCGTTGCGTTGCGTGCGGTCGTCCGTCCGGGCCGCAGCCTGGCCTTGGCCTGACAGTGCCTTTCTGGTCTTAATAAGCGAGGCACCAGCCTCAAGCGCCATGACGCGCTGACGTGCACGGGGCTTGCCGTCCAAATTTGGCTCCCTGGAATCTGGGATCCAACCCCTGCCCGTTTGCTGACCCCCACAAAGGGTTTTCCTGCAAGCTACGGAGTACGGAGTACTGTGGCTTCTTTAAGCCTCGCCCAGGTTGGACCAGTACTTGCGACTGTGGCCTCAACCTCGTCCAAGATTCTTTGATCGCTGCCATCTCGCGGCCCTCAATTGTGTATTACGCATCACTTCCCGGCTTTATTTAGCCACCCATTTTCCACACGTCCACCATCTTTGGTGCAACCAACCAGTCTGCCCAGCCACTGGCTTTGTTCTTCCTGTCGCCTGTTCTCGTTCTCCCGTGGTCCTCGGAATTGTTCGTCCTCCATTCACTTACTTGCCTTAACAGGCGACAGCTTAGTGGGGAGCTTGTCACCAGCCGTCACGTCACCGTCGAGTCTTGGACGTCGAGCCACGACGAGCCGCTTTAGCCATGCCGCCCAAGTCGAGATTCACGAGGCTGGATGCCTTTACAAAGACGGTTGACGAGGCGCGAATCCGCACTACAAGCGGTGGTGTCGTGACGATTGTATCGCTTCTCGTCGTTCTCTTCCTGTCTTGGGGAGAATGGGCCGACTATCGACGAGTCGTGGTACGCCCAGAATTGGTGGTAGACAAGAGCAGAGGTATGGTGGTCCCTACACTCTACTCTTTCTTACAACTTGGAAGTTTGCGGATGCTAATGGAGCCTGTGCAGGAGAGCGAATGCAAATCCACCTCAACATGACCTTTCCTCGAATGCCTTGCGAGCTCCTCACCCTCGATGTCATGGATGTGTCTGGGGAGCAACAGCACGGGGTATCCCATGGTGTGAAGAATGTCCGCCTTCGTCCTGAATCCAAAGGTGGCGGCGTCATTGACATCAAGTCTATGAAGGTCCACGACGATTCTGCCGAGCATCTGGATCCCTCTTATTGTGGTGGATGTTACGGTGCTACTGCGCCCCCCAACGCACGAAAAGCAGGGTGCTGCAATACCTGCGATGAAGTCCGAGAGGCGTACTCAATCCAGGGCTGGGCGTTTGGCAGGGGGGAAAACGTCGAGCAGTGTACCCGTGAGCACTATGCCGAAAGGTTGGATGAACAACGTGAAGAGGGTTGCCGCGTCGAGGGCCATCTCGAGGTCAACAAAGTTGTTGGAAACTTTCATCTTGCCCCTGGTCGCAGCTTCAGCAACGGCAACTTGCATGTTCACGACCTCAAGAATTACTGGGAGGCCCCCAACGGCAGGCAGCACGACTTCACGCACACCATCCACCAGTTGCGTTTCGGCCCCCAGCTTCCTGCCGCAGTTTTCGAACGACAGGGCAAGAATTCTATGCCTTGGACAAATCATCATCTTAACCCTCTGGACGGCACCAAGCAGGAGACTAACGACCCAGCCTTCAACTACATGTATTTCGTCAAGATTGTGCCCACGTCGTACCTGCCCCTCGGTTGGGAGAAGAAACTCAATGGCGCGGCTGGGTCGACGTATGGTAATGCCGATGGCAGCATTGAGACTCACCAGTACTCGGTCACTAGCCACAAGCGGAGTCTCGAGGGAGGCAACGATGCCGCTGAGGGTCACGCAGAACGTCAGCATTCGCAGGGCGGCATTCCTGGCGTCTTCTTTTCATATGTGAGTATCATCAAGGGACCTGCCGGCTTCATGCCGATATCCTAACTTTCTGGCAGGACATTTCTCCCATGAAGGTCATTAATAGAGAGGAGCCGGCCAAGACCTTCACTGGTTTCCTTGCAGGTCTCTGCGCGATCGTCGGCGGCACGCTCACGGTCGCGGCTGCTATTGACCGTGGGCTGTTCGAGGGTGCCGCGAGACTGAAGAAGATGCGGTCAAAGGACTTGTAAGAGGAAAAAAAGCAATCTCTTGTGTATTTGTCGTGGAAACGGTTTTCTTGTTTGTTTTGTTTTGTTTCTGTTTTTGTTTTAGGGCATGGGCTTGGGCGTTTTTCCCTCTTTCTTTTGTTCTTGGATGACCTGGTTACCTTTGAATCTTGGGGAGGGAGACAGACAATGTTACCAAGGGATGCGTCGCATAAGGCAGAGTTTGGAGCGGGCATGGGGATTACGCGGTCAAAAAAATTAGAAACTGAAGGAGAAGGACAGGCAGACAAATATGGGCGCAGGATATTTTGCAGTGGGTGCTTAGTTCCGTGTAAATTCCGTCTAGGGCGGTGGTTGTTATTTGATGCGCGCGAAAATTTACGCTTAGTGCTTGGCACCTCTCAAGGCTGTAGTGACGGGGACGCGTGACGTGAGATATGCCGGTCAGAAAGACTTGGGATGAAAGATAGGACACTGCAGCCGGAGTTGTATCATCGAATACTGCACTCCGTACTCGGCCGGTTTGTCGGCATTTCCCTCCAATTGCATCATGCATGGGTACCAGTTGACGATGCTGTGTGGTTCACGTTGTGTGATGGTTCTTGGTTACTTGGGAATTGGGCAAGGGGAGGCCTTGATAACCTCCCAGACATGGGTTGGTGTGCTGTCCGAGCGTTTCACTGGCCAGTGCAGACATGTGGCGCCCATGATTGCTTTGCCCTTGAGCTGTCTCCCTTGACGGGCTTGCTGCATGTGTCACGACTAACGACTCGGGAGGTAAACTCGGAGGTATCTATCGGTGTCTTCCCAGAGCAGCCCTGGTGCGTGGGATGCGAGGCCGGGATGTACGGTGGGTGTAAGTTACCGTTCGTCTTCCCGCGACGATGTTATGGGCGTCTTCGGTTGATAGCCGACGGGGGAGCGCAATGCAATGCAATGCAGTGCGGCATGTCGTCGCCGCCCAAAAATGTGCGTATTAAGTCACTCGTGCTCCTTACAAGGCGCACTTCAATTGGTAAGTAGTTGGCAGGTCAACTGGTGACGATTCCAGGGGCCACATCTTTGATACCACATGGGACGCAGAGCCACGTATTGTATAGTCTCTGGTCTGCAGGAGCTTTCGACCGACCACAAAGAGGGAGAGAATCGTGACGAAAGACGGAAAAGAGAAAGAGAGAAAGAAGGGACGAACACCATGAGCAAAACATGCCGCGGCGGTTAGAGAAATAGAGACGTACCCAACCGACGAACGCATTCGAAAAATTGAGCCATGTGTTTAACAAGTTGACCGGTCGTTACAGGGTAGCAGCAGATGGCCGACGACGGGAGGGAGACGGTGGGATCTGAGGCGGTCTTGGGGGAACGTACGGAGTACTCCGCACAGAGCACAATTTTTTCAACGTTGTTATTATTGGAGGCGAGGGAGGAGATCAAATGGGGCGAGATGTGAGCCTGTGGATATCCTGCTGGGACGAGAATGCAGATGACCCGACTATTGCTCGCCTACCTCAGCTGACCTGACTATTGTAGTTGACCTGACCTGACTATTGCTATGGGGCGCCTACTACTTTCTAATTGGCTAGAAGTTAAATTGCACTTATAGAGACTACTATTAGTAATTAAGAAATATATATAGAGAGCAGGGTTTTTTCCTCTATTAATACTTAGTAAGATTTCCTTCTAAATATATTATAAATTTAACTAGAATTAAATCTTAATTTAATCTTAATTTAATTTAATTTAGTCCTCTAACCTTACTATACTCTTCTTTCTCTATTAACTATTATAATAAATATTCTAGTTAGCTTGCTTAGAACTAAGAATATTAATAATAATTATAAACTTCTAGATTTACTTACTATTTATAATAAATTTATCTTTAATAGTAGAGATATTAATTCTATGCTTTTATAGAATATTTAAGCACTAAAAGATATTCTAGCTTCTAAGTATATACTATTTAATAAAGTAAGTTAAAATAATAAATATATTTTAATTATTATACTAACCTTTTTTATATAGGTTAAATATCTAGAAGCACCTCTATTACTATTAGCAAATTCCTTATTAAATAACTAAATTTAAATCCTAACTAATACATTAAGCGTTTATTAAGTCTTCTCTACTGCTTCTATTCTTAAAATGCTATAAACTTTAATAAATAGTATTAAATATATTATTTTAATAAAAGCATTAAAGAAAGAAGATGTTAAACAGCCTTAGAAAAGCATTTAATATAGTATTAAAAGAAGCTTTCCTGCTAAGGCAATAACTTTAGCAGCATTAGGAAGTATTCTAGTATTTTAATATACTTTTAAGTATACTAGTAGGAAAGCATGCTAATATCTTACCCTAGATTTAAAAACAATAAATTTTTTTTAGCCTCTAGTCTATAGCACTACTGCGCTAGCTTAAGACTGCCTCTAAAATACAAACTAATATAAGGACTTTCTTCCTTACACTTAATTGCCTCTACTTATAATGCTGCACAGCAGCTGCACTAGAGGCAAGGCAGCAGAGGAGATACTAATAGTTGTTAAAAGTAGTAATAAAAGGCTTGCCTAGAGTTGCTACTACTTAAATATAGAAAGAGAATAGTTTAATAAATAAAAACTAGGCAGTAATAAGCTGCCTATAACTTAAGACTAACTTAATAATACTTAAAAAGAAGTATATAATAAACTTATAAGCTATATTTTAAAGAGTAATACTCTTAAGAGAGCCTAAGTAATACTCTAAGTATATGCTAAGGCAGAGGTGCGCTAGGCTATAACTAAAGCTGTAATTAACTAAGATAATACCTCTATAACTTAAGGACAGCTATAGAAAGCTGTAATAACAGCAGTAAAGAAAGCTATAAAGATAGCTAAAAGACTGTAATTATAAGTAAGTATTACAGCTAGAGTATATTTAGCTTAAGCTCTAGCCCCCCCCTCTTTCTCTATCTTAATATAATAATATTATAAAGTGCTTATAAAAGAAAATACTATTATAAAAGTATATAAAGAGCAGGCTGCTGCTAATATAGTATTAGCTATAAACTAAGCTATTAGCTATAATGCTGCTATTACTATAAGGCACTTGCTAAGTAGCAATACTATAGTAACCTTCTAAGGCAAGGCAAAATAATATTAAGAGGAAACTAGCTAGATTTAAGCTGCCTTTAGCCTAGATATAACTATATACTAATAAGTACTTAGTATAATTATAAAAGAATTCCCTACTAAGTATATAAAAGTTAAAGGCCTTACTAAAGAGATAGTAAAGACAAATAAAGTAAGAGTTATATAGGCTACTTTATAGCAACCTTAGGGCAAGTCTACTATAAGAGCGCTCTTAATACTAAGTATAGAAGGACTAGAAGATATTAATAAGTTATACTAAGAAGGCTTAGTCTTCTAAGCTAAGATATTTAATACTAAACTATATAATAAGGCTTTCTACTTAAGGTAGTGCTTTAACTACTATAGCATTAAGTATATAGCTAAATACTATAAGGCAATACTAAGGTGCAGCTAGTATACTGCTAAGCGCTATATAAATAGAGAATAATTATACTCTATAATTACTAGTAGTATTAGGAAAAAGTATATTTTATATAATAAAGCATACTTAGCCTAAGACTAAGCTTGCTCTATCTTAAAGAAGTACTAGAATAAAGCTAAGGAGAGATACTTAGAATGCTTAATAAAGTTTATAGACTACTAATACCTAAACTACTACTACTAGTAAATTATAATTAACTTTAACTTAGAGTTAGGCAGAGAATAGCCTACTTAGAAGAGAGGCTGTCTACTAGAGAGTAGAAATAAAACTAAGAATATAATACCTTTAGCTTAATAACTAGCTAGCATTCTACTATATATAAGCTGCTTTCTATTACTAAGAAATACTATAATACTAAGAATTAATATTATCTCTCTCTTCTAAAATACTTAAGATACTATACTAGAATATTAATAAGAAAAACAACTTTATCTATATAGCGCTTTACTACTAGCTTAATATTAACTTAATAGCAATATAAGAATAGAAACAGACAAAATAAAGCTAGCCTCTTAGCCTAGAGCTTAGCAGCTATAAGCTAGTATACTACTAGAGCAGAAATATAGTATATATTTATACTTAATATAGGCCTAGCTTATAGTTAGTTAAGAATAGTAGTAAAGACTAGGCTAATATAAGAATTAAAAGAATTAAAGTTATATTGCTATACTTAGAGCTCTATAAAAGCAAGAAGTAGAGCATACCTCTATATAATATAGAGGCTAGAGAGGCTTAAGATAAGTGTATATTAGTTAGAGACTTTAACCTTAAGCACTTACTTTAGAACAAGCTAAAGAGGACTAGCTAAGGCTATAAAGAACTACTAGTAATAGTAGCCTAGTAGCAGCTTAGCTTAGTAATACTAAAAGGAGAACTTATAAAGTAAAAATATAAAAATAAAGATAGCACTATTAACTTAGCTTAAGCTTTATAGAGCCTTAAAGTTATATACTAAGAAGCTATAGACCTAGCTAGATCTAACTATATTTTATAGCTAATCTAGGTTAATACTAAGGCAGATAATAAGCCTCTAGTACTTATAAAGTACTTATAGAAGAAACTTAATAAGAAATTAGCTAAGGTAGAGGCTAAAGTATAGTTTTAAGGTAAGGTAGTAATATAGCTGCTTAGCACTTAAGCTAAGGTTAATAAATATATAGACTAGATAGTATAATAACTTTAAGAGATAGTAAATAAAGCTGCACTAAAGAGAGCGCTAAAGCCTTCTTACTAAGAATAGTAGTAAAGCTAGCATATAATAAAAGCAGTATTAAATATAAAAAGAGCAAAATAAGTATAATATTGCAGATAAACAATAGCTAACTAGAAATACTGCCTAAAAGCTAACTTAGTATAAAGCTAGGTTACTACTAAGAAATATAGAAGTACTTAGCGTAAAGCTCTCTACTATACTAATATAAGAAATAATAAGATATAGCAGCTAGAAAGATAAGCCTGCCTATATAGCTATATACTAC